CCCTCATGCTGCTGAACTGAGGTCTGACCTGGGTGTTGGCTGTGAGCAGGAGTCTGGACCTGTGGCCAGTGACTGGGGCAGCTCCCTGAGCAGCAGGTGCTGGAACTGAGACCCTGACCTGAGGTGGTTCTGGAGCCCTCTCTCTGGCCCTGGTCTATCCCACCCAGCCTGTGCTTGATCTTCAAGTGGGCTTCCCAGCCTGGGTCTGGCACAAGCCACACTGTGGCTAACCTGAGGCAGCACATGTCTGCTGAATCCTGGCCATGGGAGCACCTGGACAGCTTCCAGCTAGACTCCCCACTGGGTGACCCCACTGGCTGGCTAAACCCAAGTAAATCCAGGCCAGAAGACCCCAGGGCTATAGTGTCCACAGCTCAAGATGCAGAGGCAGGTCAGCCCTGCTGCCGTCCCTCTCCCTACCATCCACTACCTGGACCTGGCAGGTGTGCATCCCCGGACCCCACCTAGGCCTGAGCTCTGGTCTGAGGGACCCACCCCACCCCCACAGCAGGTGCAGAGGCTGCTGCAGCCCCACCTGTAGCCAGAGGGTGGCACCACATGTGGCTCTGAAGCCATATCCTAGCCAGCAGGGTCCACCTTACAGGCCCTCAGAGGGCCTTTGCCTCCAGAGCAGGCCACACCCTGTCCCTGGATATCCTGGAGGTGGCCTGGGGGCTCCTGAGGACTAGAGGCCCTGCCCAGAGCCCTCCAAGTAGTGCTTGGGCTGTCAACCTACCTTTCCATCAGCTGTCAGTGGCCTGCTACAGTGGCCCCCAAACTCCGTCACAGCCTTGGGCAAGGCCAGGGCTCCCATGCAATGGCCTGTTATTCAGGGCCAAGTATAGTCCCCATGGGCTGGGGCTCTGCAAGGAACAGTCTCTTCAAGAGCAGAGGGGTGCTCCAGGGCCAGCACCCTGCACCACTCATCCCCAGAGCACTCCAGCCACCTCCCACCCCAAGAGCCACCCTCGGCACTAGGGAACAGAGCACTGTCCCTCCATGTGCCAAGTGATGCATGTGTGGCCACACTCAGTCCCACCCATCAGACCAAGTGCACAAATGAAGCCACCACTGAGCCCACAGGCATGAGCTGCGTAAGAGCACATTTATTCTTAATTGGACAGAGCCGTAAATGCACACAAACACACAGGCACCTATAGCTAACACTCCAGAGTGAGACATCAGGGGCCGGGTCGCCATGTGGGGATGGTGGTCACGACACAGGGTCTGGGGTTGCCACAGCAGTCACATATGTACAAGCCACAGCTGCTGCCTCCAAGCCACAGGGGGACCTGGGGACAAGCTAGCTACAGGGACACAGGTCCTAGAAGAAACTCAGGCTGGCCACAGCTGCTATCCTTTGGGGGACTGTGTGATCTCAGCCCCAGGGGTAAGGGAGTGTACCTTTTGGGGTCCCCTGACAAGGTGAAGCAGGCAAGGGACCAGTGCTGCAACATGGCACACACCTGTAACATTAGCTGCTTCCAGGGACCCTGAGGTCCCTGAACACCAGGGCCAGGACTCACGGGGAAGGCCACTTCACCACAGCCATCCTGGGGCGGGCATGTGTGCAAGCGCCTATACAGTGTAAGCCCAACGCAAGCATCTCCTGAGTGACTACTCTGGGGCCAGCTACTGACCACCCCCAAGCACCCACTGGGTCTCATCAGAGCTGGAGAATGGGCCTGCCTGGAGCCTGCCATCCCCTTCTCTTGAGAGCCACAGTGGAAGCAGCTTATCCTCTGCAGGACAGCCACCACCTGGGTAGCATCAAGCATTAAAACAAAACTGTTGGAGAGAAACGGCTTTCCAAATGTTCCTTCCTTCTGCACTTAGTGGGAATGGCAGCCACGGCTGGGCCTGACACTGCTGCCTGCACCCCAGGAGTGAGCACCCTCCAGATCAGCCCTCAGCATCACAGATCTGACACCACGTCCCAGTGAGTTTGATGAATTGTCCTCAGCTAATATGATATGTAGGTAATTTGGAGCATGGGGCATTTGAAGAAACCAGGTCTCCTGACTCACTGACAGGTTTCTGTCACTACCAACTTTGGGTTCTGGACACTGACTTGGGACCTCCCCCCACGAGCAGGCC